CCCTCCCCTCCCCTCCCCTCCGTGTCCCCTTGCTTTGTGGCACCTACGTGTTTCTCTATGAAGGTCCTCCACTCAGGCGTGGTGCAGAAGAGCTGGAAGTCCTCGTAGAAGGTGGGGCTGCCGTTGGTGGGGGGCAGCGAGGGCAGGAAGTGCTGCAGCTGCAGGGTGTCGTAGCACTGGTTCATCAGTGTCCGGATGATGGACACCAACCAAGAGAAGGTCTCCACCTTGGATAGCAGTGAGCGCTGCAGGGGCATCTCCAGCTTTCCTAACAGGTAGCAGGCCTCCTCCTTCTTGGGGGCTGAGGCTGTCTGGAGCAGGCTATGCAGCTTCACATAGGCCAAAGCGTGGAGCTGGAAAGTGTGAGGCAGGTCGTGTTACTTGATGCCTGCTTCACTGCAATTCCAGGCCAGGTCCCTTCCAGTATCCCACCCCCAACCCTTGCACCACAAGGCAGCCTCTTTCCCCTCCAATAGCCCAATCCCTGCCCCGAAGCTCAAAATGTCATTCTCCACCCCAACAGCTCATTGTCCTGTGATGTGATCTGCAGTATTGTTGTACCCCAGGGATTCTCAACCAGGCTGCTGGGGCACTCTGGGATGCTGCCAGATCCTTTAAAGGGTGCCAAGAGGCATGAGGAGATACCCTTGTCCTGGCCCAGCTTGGACTGCCCTCAGGGTGTAACACACACTAGCTAGGCTGAGAGTGTCGTGACACCCCCCGCCGGGTTGCTGGGGGAGCCACCCACCTGCGTGTCCTCCAGCATGATGTACCCGATGAGGATGTGCAGGCCGATCTGAGCCATCTCTTTCAGGTCCGAGGTCCCGTTGGCCAGGTGGTACCACACGCCCAACTTGTCCAGCAAGCTGTTCATACCTTCATAGATCTGCACCACCAAACGGGATAAGAAAGGCTAAATGATGCCACCCAAAGAGGCTGGTGGATGCCTGCACTTCCCTTCCCAGCCCAGCCCAGCTCAGCCCACCCCAGCTGCCTGCATGCAAGGGAATTGTCAAGGCTGGGGGGTTAGCTGGAAAGAGATCCCTGAAGAGCTGCAGTCCTGAGGGGAGATGAACCCTGCATGGCAGGAGAGAAAGCTCGTGGTGGTGGATGGTTGGACAAGGAGGTGTTTCCACATAGGGCTCTACAGAGATTGGGTCCCTACAGCATGATATTTATACAGTGACCTGGACAAGGGAGAGTCTCTGTCTTCAGGGAGACTGTGAGCTGGAAAGGCCATGTCTCAATGCAGGAGAGGAGAGGCGAGGGCAGAGATGGTGGGGGTGAAATTTGAAGGTGCTGTAGTGAGGAGTACTGGGGACAGGCTAACAAGGGACAGGCCAGATTGAATGCTAATGGGAAGTATCTCAGTAGGGAGCTATGTCCATCTGTGTCCTATCAGCCCCAGAAACCCACAGAAGCACAGCTCTCCATAACATCCTCCTGGATCGGATAGAGCCCATCAGGAATGATGCGACCCCTGCCCTTCTCCCATCCATCTTCTCAGACCCTGGGCACGTTGGCTCTGAGGTAGCTGGGAGTGTCGGTGCTCCATATTCTGCCTAGTCACAGTCTCAGTTTGCAACCTGGACATATCCCTTGGTGAGGCTCTGAGTGCCTGAACCCATGGAGCTCTCCAAGCTCCACTCCACAGCCTCCTGGACCCCACAGCTACATCAGAGGCCCCACCTCATCCCCCACCTTCAAGCAAAAAGTACTTAGAGACCATCGCTCTGCCACAGGCATAAGTGGGCAATTGGTGGCACACACCTTCTCGCTCCACAGGGCCTGGTTGTTGTGTCCCTCGGAGAACAGGAAATCCTGGAGAAGCCGCAGCAACTTTAGCGCATTCTGGGTGAGGTTGGGCAAAGCCGCTGGGGCTAATTCCTTGAGGTCTGTGAAGGCCGACTCCAGCATCATCTCAAGGAGGCTGCAAGAGAGACACGTGGGTAATGGCTTGGCCGGACGCCATGTGATGCCAGGGACAAGCCGGGGGGGCCAGGCTGGGATAGTTGAAAGGCACTGGCTCAGCTGAGTGGGCAGTTCAGGCCTAAGGCAGCAATGAGTTGTCTGTGATGGCAGAGCTGAGAATGGGGCGTTTGCTGGTCAATGTGCAGAACAGGCTCTGGTGTTACTGGTGCCTCATTTGCACGGGATGTCTGCATGCCAGCAGCCATTTTGCTCCGACACAGCCCCTGAATGAGCTCGCCCCCTTGGCTCCCGCACCCTGGTGTTTTGCCAGCACCCACCTGCGCTTGATTTCATCGGGTGGGCGCACCAGCTCGCAGGCTGTCCCCAGCTTGGTGAGGACTGAGAAGACCTGCCCTCGCTCCTTCCAGGCTGCATCGTCCCAGCCCTCCACCCCACGCCAGGTCACTGAGAAGATGATGTTGGTCAGCAGGTTGCACAGCTCCTCCTCAGGTGTTTGCTGGGGGGGGCAAGATGAAGGACACATGAACTGAACGATGCTTGAGAGGGAAAACCGAGGACCCGTATGGGCTGACCAGTGCTTGAGAGTGAAGGCCAAGGACACATGTGAGTTGAATGGTGCTTGAGAACAAAAACCAAGGTCACATGAGCTGAACGGTGTTTGAGAGGGAAAACCAAGGACATGTGAGCTGAATGGTGTTTGAGAGGTAACACCAAGGACTTGTGTGACCTGAACGGTGCTTGAGGAGGTGTGGGATGGTGAAGAAAGGGCCCAGGGGGAGCCCAGGATTTAGGTAGTTGAGGGGGACCTGTGGGTTAAGACCAAAGTCCAGCAGCAGAGCTCAGTATGGGAATCCAGGGCTGGACAGCAGGGGGGCGATGGGGTAGGAGTGAGGAGCACCAGGTGCTCTGTGGTAACTCCAAGCTGGGCTGGCAGACTCACTTCCTAGGTGCCACCCAGCACCTGAGGGACGCATGACTCCCAACTGCAGATGGCAGCTCACAGCGTACATCTTCCTGTAGCAACCCGCCACCATACACTCTCACCCAAGGGCTCGGGCACGGGCACGGGCAGAGGGGGCTCCTTTGCCTGTCCTGAACTCACCTGGGGGTTACTCGTGTTGGAGACGTCATCGCTGGGCAGCGTCTCCTGGTAGCTGCTCGCGTCCAGCACATTGGAGAGGCTGGAGCTCTTCCGAGCTCGCATCCCTGGGAAGGGCTTGAAATTCTCTAGTGGGGACGGGGTCCCTGGCTGGCTCCCTGGGGTCTGGTTCCCACTCTCTACTGTGGTGACAGAGCTGGTGCTGCCGAGTTCGAGGCCAAGGTCAAAGGGTGACATGGAAAAAGGAGAGAGTGGGTGGTAGATGCCATCAAATGGCAGGGCATCAATGTGGGGCCCATCCCCCTGCCCAGGAATGTCGATGGTGTTGGAGGAGGAAGAGTGGCTGGGGCGGTCCAGCGAGTCGAAGGACTTGAAGTTGTAGGAGTGGAAGGATTTGGTTCGGCCAGCTGGGGAGATGGAGTGGTCCGAGAACCCCTCGGACAGCTCCTGGTCTGAGGCCTCAAAGCCCAGTGGTAGGAAGACGTCCAGGTCCTGCAGATCGGCGGAGGCAGGCCCCATGCTGTCCAGCAGCTCCTTCCCAGCCTCAGGACCCAAGTCCTTGCCCAGGGGCTCGGAGAACTTCAGGAGGTTGAGGCAACCCCCGCCGCCGGAGCTGCTAAGGCTGTGCTGGCGGGATTCATAGGACTCCTTGACATACAGCTTCGTGAGCGTGTCCTGCCAGCCTACCAGCTTTGCCAGCTGCCTCACCATGTCTTGTTGGGAGTAGATGAGGTGGAACAGCTGCAGGGCAGGAGGGGAGAGGAACAGAGCACGTTACTGACCCTGTCCTGAGAACTAACTCAAGGGCAGGTGGGAAGGACCACCAGGAGAGGAGCTGGCTGCAGTCCCCACAGGCCATCACTGACATCACCCAACTCAGCAGCCCATGCCATGGAAGAGTGAATAAGGATGCAAAGTGGCCTGCTCTGGGTCAGCTGGGGATGGCTCCGAGAGCAAAGAACAGCATTAAGGAAAGGCTGAAAGCACAGAGCCAGCTCTTGGCCAGCTCTGCAGTCCCTCCTCTTGCCAGTCCACCACCTCCCCACACCTGGTGAAGTACTGCTGCTCCCCGTTGTAGCTGGCAGGGCTGCTCGCAGCATACTAGCTGCCTGAAAGGGGCTTGTGGGAAGGTGACTCTCTCATCCCAACCCCTTGCCCAGAGTCCAGTCATGGGAAGATGCAAGAGAGTCAAGGTTGACCCTGCTGCTCTTCTGAGAAGTGCTGCCCAGGAACACCTCACATCCAGGGTCACAACTCAGACATGGGGGTAAGGGGATGCAATTCATCCTCTGCTTCACCGTGGTGACTCTCTCTCTGTCCACAGGACAAGGGCCATAGATGGTTTCCCATGCTACTGCCCTGCCTACATGCCCCAGCTCCAACCCAAGAGGACAGGATGGGCACTCAGTCTCCATGATCCAATCAATCATTCTCAAAGAGCCAGAAATAGGCTAACTAGGGCCAAAAGATTGGGGACAGATGACTGTTCCCCAAGTGCTGTGTCCCTGATCTCAGCATATTCCTTCTACCCAAGCAACCACCTACTGCCAAGGCCCATGTGGGACATGGATAGGCACTGCCAGGGTTTAAGGAGACTGGCTGGAGAAGGGTGTATAAGCACCAGGGGGCCTGGGTTTGAGCCCAGCATGGGCTCTAAACAGAGGGAGCTCTCCTGAAGGCCCCACTGCTGTAGCATGATGGAGCAGACCACGATGCTGGCTGAACCTGGGTTCCCACTCAGGGCTCTGAAGGGGACGCCCACTCTGCTGGCTCTGCTCACCTTCCGGCAGATGTCCAGCCTGACTGTCAGCTCGGCCCGGTGGGACAGGTAGACCACAGCCACCAGGTCCTTGTAGTTGGGAGAGTCTGTGGGAGGAGAAGCACAAAGGCAAACGTGGCACAGGGCCCTGAGGTAAGGGCACCCAATGATCTTGGATAGACCCTCAGCCATGGGCATGCACTCACAGCTTGCCTCAGCAGCTGGAAGCATAGCCACCAACAATGTGCCCCAGGCTGGACAGACCCCGTCACCTACATACATTAAGGAGGGCCCAAATTTGAATTCTATAGAAGAATGAATGGGACAATGCAACTCCTGGACTCCAAACCCAGAGGCCAGATCCTATTCCACCTACGAGGCACCTAGGTGTTGCTCAGAGGCCTAAGCACAGTTTTATTCCCCCCTGCTCGACTTCCTGAATAACAGCTAACCCAAAATTTGGGGCAGGGGGTGGTCCTTCTCCACCTCCCCCTAACAGCTTCTGAGGACTTTGCCTGGATGCTGAGATGCAGGCATGCTGCAAAAGCAGACGAGCTCATGTTTCTTCAGGTCTTGAGCAGGGTGAAACAGAATCTGTCAGCGCATTATCTGCCCCAGCAGGTGGGAGAGGGTCTGGGTTTCTTTCTCCCGTCAGCGACGCAGCCGCTGTGCTCTCCCTTGGTATGGTAAGTGGAGTGAAGCTGCGTCCTGGTCATGCTGGCAGTACCTGATCCAAGGACCTGCTCCAGAAGGCAGCGGAAGAGCAACATAGAGACTGGCACATCGTTCAGACTCCCGATGAGCCCTTCGTAGCCGATGTCCTTCAGCTTCAGGCGCTGCCTGCTGCGCTCGTGAACCTTTTCATACTTCAGCATCTTGTACAGGATCTGAGTGGTGGAGACCATCAGTGTTAGTGGGTTCAGGTCTTTGGGGCAGCCCTTGGCTGTCTGGTGGAGTCCTAAGGGACTCGGAGAACATCCCAGCTCTGGGAGAAGGTAGCACGGTGGGTTTTAGGGAGGGATGCCTATTTCTCACCTTGAAGACTCTCTCCCGCACATCATCTGAGAACTTCTTCTGGACGAGCAGTGAGAAGAAGACCTCCACGTTGCCAGTTTCAAAGAGGAAGGCGTAGAGCTGGTCCTGAGAGGGTGCCCCCTTCAGCAAGCCATGGATCACCTCCAGAGCCCCAGACACCTGCAACAGCAGACCCCGTTACACACATCTTCTCACCGCCTCAGAGAGACAGTCCAAATAACAGCAGCTCCATAAACCCAGGGCCAGGCTTTCCTTTATCTGCACTTCAAGATGCAGCCAGGACTATTCCTTATTTGCCAGGCAGAGAAAGGCTGGGCTCTCCAAAGCAACCGTGACATACAAGGGGTCCATGTGGGTAGGGTGGATCCAGGGCGGTGCACTGGTGCAGTTGCACATCCTTTTGATCCCTGTTCCACCCAAACTCTAAAAGCAACTGCCTGAGAAGGGCAGCAACATTTCTAACCAGGCAACAGCGACAGTCAACTGACTTCACAGCTCACTATCATCTCCCTGATTCCTCCTAATCTCTCCACTCCACAGATGTTTCTAATGGTCTTGCTGTTCCACTATTCAAACTATCCTTTCTTTTGCAATGATACTATTAACCATTCTTGGTAATGCACCTCTTCTATTTCACAGCCCTGCAGATTGTGAAGTATTGGAAGCATTGTCAAGGTGCTCAAGAAGGTGACATTTTTGTTTTATGAATCTGAAGAAATGTACATTTAACTAGAATGGCTGTAAGACTAATGGCACAACCTTTTGATTATTTTGACTATTATTTGTCTAGTTTGTTGTGTCTTTTTAAACTTTATATATAATCTAGCCAATTAGTGCACATTCCAATAGGTATACTTTCTTCTTGCTTTGGTCTGAAATTAAATAATATAGAACTAGCCCCCCAGCATATTAGTAAAGCTTCTGTTTTTTCAGAAAAATACTGTTGTGTTGCATGCAATTTTGTGCCATACCATCTGCATGCCCATTTTCAAAATCCTAGATCCACCTATGCAGGTGGCATAGCTTTAGGACCAAGAAATCTGCTCATTCCCTGTATGGACTCACATGCAGATGACAATATGGTTTTAGTCCAGCTACCCAAGCATAGCTATAGAAGAGAGGGAGCTGGGGTCATGTCTGGACCCTCTGGGACCCTCTCGCATCAGTCACTGCGAGGTGCTACAGACACATCCTGGCTCTCAAAGCCCAAGCTGCAGAGCTGGAAGCTGCTGAGGCTTGGGCAGGAAAGTTGTTCCCACCTCACGCAGGGTGTCAGCTCTGTGCCTTGCTCCACATAAGGAAAAGCTGTGCTCCTTATTTGTTTCATCTGTTCAGGGACACCTGGTGGCCCTGCCTTCACCTCTACTCTGATTCAGCCTCTGTAGCACTCTGTAAGTGGTGCTTACAGGCTCCAGCCAAGAGTAGGGCACATGTGCTGCGGGCAGCACAAATCCACAGGGAGCGGCAGCTCCCACCCCAAGCACATTGCAGTCTCAGCAGCAGAACATAGGAAGCCTCATTATCCCTGTCTTAACGAGGGGGAAAGAAGGGATAGAAAAGCTAAAGCCAAGACCTGCAAGGGGATTAGGGGTTGAACAGGAACACCTGATGGGGCTGGACCAACGTGACTTCACTGGTATGACCTATAGTTTCATAGTTTCTAGGGTCGGAAGGGACCTGAGTAGATCATCTAGTCCGACCCCCTGCCATGGCAGAAAATATTACTGGGGTCAAATGACCCCAGCAAGGTGTTCATCTAACCTCCTCTTAAAGACCCCCAGGGTAAGGGCCAGCACCACTTCTCTTGGAAGTTGGTTCCAGATCCTAGCCACCTTGACCGTGAAGTCGCGCCTCCTGATATCTAGCCTAAATCTACCCTCTACCAGCTTGTGACCATTATTCCTGGTCACTCCTGGCAGTGCTCGGGGGAACAGGGACCTGGGACAAGCCACTTTGGCACAGATCCCCACTGACTCCCTTTGTGGAGCTGGGCCCAGGGGGCTCCTCCAGAGACACACAAGAAGCCTGTGATGGGGCCAAGGATTAAACCTGGATCTCCCAAGTGCCATTGCAGTGCATGAGCGACAGGCCTCCCTGGCTTCCTGTCTGCTCTCACACCTGGTGCTCGTCATGGACTCCAGCCAGGTAGTTCAAGGTGCTTTGCATCTCGTCAGCAGAGAAGTTCCGGGAGAGGAAGTCCTTCACCAGGCTGAACAGGGATGTCTGCACTGTCTTGACGTCGTCTGCTGGGATCGGCTTCTCTCTGCGAGTGCTGGGAGAGGGGAGGGGACAATGTACACAACACGTGCAGGCTGTAGGCACTGCCACTGAGCAGACTGCCTCCTGCTGGGGAGATGGAGCCAGGGTGGCAGATTGCAGTTTGGGAATGGGTCTGATGGGGCTAGGGGTGATGGTAGCTCACAGGCTGCAGGAACCCAGAATCCCTGGGAAGAAACGCTGGGGGAGGAGGTGGGAGGGCTCTGATGTGGGGCGTCAGTGGAGAGGGAGGGAGTATGGACACACAGCACCCAGCTACCACACAACCAGAGGGGGCTTTCTTAGAGCCTGTTGTAATCCAGCCCTGGGAGCAGCACTTAGGGCCATCGACACAATTTTTTCCTACAGCTCCCAGGTCATGGACAGGCACTGAACAAGGACAAGGTATTGAGAGGCTCTGGAGCAGGGTGACCTTGAGACAGTTATCTTCCCAGGAGCCGTGGAGACCCTTTCACAGGCTGCTCCAAGGAATTTCCTCTTCTTCAGCTCCAAAAGCATTGAAGAGGCTACCTTGGCTCATGCTGGCATGACAGAAGCAGCGTTTGTTCCTCTAACTCACCCGTAGTGCGTCCTAATGGAGTCGAGGATGTACTGCACCCCGTACTTCTTGTGGATTCTCTGCCTGTGGTCCTTGAGGATCCTGGATAAATACTGAATATGACCTGCGAGCAGGACGAGGAGAAGAGGGATAAAAAGACATGTTTGGAACATGAATGAACTTACCATATTTGAAAGGACGAAAGGGCACGGCAGAGCAAATTCTCTGGCTGGCAAATCCCCACTAGAAGGCACCTCTGACTGCTGCTGGGATCAAAGCCCAGCAATGGAGCAGACCCCAAGCTTTAGCCCCTTACCCAAGCGAACGGCAAAGTCACTGTTTCTCCAGATGCGGAAATCGAAGAGCAGGTACTGGTAGAGGAGATGCAGCAAGAGGCCATTGCTCTCAGAGGCTACCTGTTCCATCAGGACCTCGGATGCCATCAGCACATTCATGTCCATCATCAGGTTGGAGACCTGGCAAGGGCAAGGCAGAAGAGCTGGGAGGGAGTGCCATGCCCATTTCACAGGCAGAGGCACAGTGCTTTCTGGGACTTAAAGGCTTCAAAGCCCTTGGGTCATGTGAAGGGGACCTGCATCAGAGCTTCTTGCTGGAAAAGACACATGCTCCCCCAACTGCAAGTACTACTGTTTAACCCTTTATGGTATAAGCAGCCTAAGTCACTCATGGATAATGCAGGTGGCCAGTGAACCCAGGCATTCCCCAAGCCCTTTTGATGTCTATATTAATGGCACTGCTTATACCAATTTAAGATGCTTGGCTGGTTTGTGCTGGAAGTGTGGCTCATCTGTTCACAGCTCATTGAGGCTCAATCTCTTGTGCTTAATGAGATGCCCTCAGCTCCTGCCTGGCAGTTTGCTCCTCATCAAGGCTTGTTACTTTGCTATTCAGGGCACTGGCAGATGCAATCGACCCATGAAACTGCTCAGTCCCGTTGTCCACGCTGTGCAGCAAAATTTGCGTAACAGCTGCAGCAGCCAGCGTGGCTAGGAGCAGAAAAATGCCCTGCCTCAGGGCTGGCAGGTTTAGCTGATCACTGGGAATGTCATGAATTCTGTGGCTGACAAGTGAGCCTGCTACACATGGTTTCAATTTGATGTCTTGGGTGATGGGAAAAAATGAATTCCGCCACAGGATTGCAACGGTATATATAAGTGCATGTTTGCATAATCTCAATGCATCTGTGTTACACATGTAAAATAATATCCTCTCTCTCAACCCACCACCTCCCACTGGACAGGCTTAGGCTACGATTCTTAGCCACTCTCAAGTAGACATCCTGTTGGGATGACTGGAAGCTGAGATGCCGCAGAGGCACTTCTGCCAATGGCTTGCACACAACATTGCATGGATTTGGTTTTTTGCATATTACTTTTGCAGGCCCAAGCACCAGGCCATGGCCTGTTTCCACTGCCTAGAGGCCCTAGGAGGCCAGTGAACCCGGTGGGTGCAAATCTCTTACCTTCTGCAGCAGGGCTCCGATGATCGCTGGCCCGTGGCACTGCACTAAGCTCTCCTGGTTCACAGGGTGGCGGCGGATGAAGTTCTTCACCAGCAGCAGGAAGGCAGCCACACTGTTCTTCTCCAGCCTGCCCTCTGCCAGAGGGAATGAGATGAAGTCAGCCAACTGGGCATGTTCAGCTGGAACCCATCTGATTTCCCAGGGCACAGAGGGCCCTGCTACCCAATGTCCAGCTGGGCAAGTGATAAGGATGCCGAGCCCTCAAGCATCTCAGGGGCTTCCATGGGCATGCAAAAGAACTGGCCTCCCTGTGGATAAGCAGGAACATGTCCTGCTACTTCCCACACTGCCCAAGGCGCCCTGCGTGCTTTGCTTACCTGAGGACTTCCCGAGGGGGATGAGCATGCCCTGGGCGTTCCTGGAAGATGTCAACTCTGGACCAACCAGGTCATGTGTTTCCTGGTTCTCTTCAGTTTCCTTCTTCTTAGCTGCCACTTGCTCCAGCAGTGGCAGAAGCACCCCCATGCCCCCAATGCAGTTGACAACATCCTGCAGAGACAGAGAGGCAGGGCCCTGGCTAAGACCAAGGCTCTACACAGAAGACCCACCATCCTCCCCTGGCTATGCCAATGGTGCACAGTTACCAGTGAGAGACTGCCAGGAGACTCTATTTCTCACCTTCAGCACTATCATATGCCTCACCTTAGCACCTACCTACTGGGTAACATTATTGGTATCTGTTCTGTTTACCCACTTTTACCTACCTCAAGGTAATGCTGATTACCCCAGTGTAAAGCTGCTACATGCCCGAGGCCTCAGACAGTCCTGCACTAACTTCCTGCAGTCTAACTCTCTTTGCTCCCATGCCCATGTCAGGGCAGAAGCCAGAACCCTACCTTGACATCCCAGTTCACCACCTTGTGCCCAGTCAACCGCCCATCAAAAAAGTGGTTTGGAGAAAGATCCAGGCAGATGTTATTTTTGCAGGCCTGTGGAAGGGGAAATACAAAGCTACTTTAGTGCCTGTGACAGAGATGCCAAGGGGTCCAGACCATCCCAATCCCCTAGCCCCCATGTGAGCCATCCCGCTTGAAAAAGGATAGGAAAGTAAGCTTGGGTCCAGCTCCTAGCCCTGCAGCAAGCCTGCTAGAAGGGCAGCTCACTTCATTGCTGCCTCCGTTTCCATTTGTGCAACTGGGATGATCTCACTGTCCTGTGTGTTCAACTTCCAGCAGGGACTGCCCACTCCTGAGGGCACAGATGGCACCTGGCACAGGACTGAACTCCTCTATGGCAAAGGCCACGTATTCAGACAATGGTTTCACTCCACACATCATCAGGAGAGCCTGGGACATGTGATATCCTGTGCAGTCTTTGTTACTGGGCAACACTGGGGCTGCTGGAGGGATCCAGTACAAGGAACACCCTCCCAGAGGGCCAGGTCTATAGCACTGTGTGCTCTGATGTGGCTAGAAGTCCCTCAGCCATGTTGCATCTCCCTTCCTGCACAGTCAGTGGGCAAGTCTGTGCCCAGCAGATCCAAGTTTGCATGCCCAGCTTTAAGCATAAGGCAAAGCCCCTGTGGCAGATTCCACTTCCCCTTTACATACAGATGGGGAAAGCCAGCTCCAGCCACCCTGAGGGGCCAGACTGCACCTGACAAGGTCACAGCAGCTCAGATCTAAGCTAGGCCATCTGCATTAGCAAGGGCAGGCAGGTGTGACCCTGGGGACAATGACCCAAGGGAGTTAGCATCTGTTTAAGAGCAGCCTCCTCAGAGGTGGCCACGGCACTTCCCCTGAGCTAAGCTCTCCCTGCCCACTGAAGCGGGGGGATTACAAGCCTTGGAGGGAGGCAGAGCCATTGCAGGAGTCACTGGTGATGTCCCAGTGCCTAGAAGCTCCATGTCTGCAGACTCTCCTGAGGCCCCGGCCAAACTCATGGCAAGGGGGAAGGTCCCAGCTGCTTCCCATCCACACTGGACCTCTGCCATTCCCCCTGGCCAGTCCTCACACAGACAGACTGAAGGACCTGTGATCCCCTCAAGGGGAAGGCACTAGAGCTGCTTAAAGCCTTTTACTGCCACAATGGGACAGGGCAGCAGAGACAGCTGGTACTGCCCTTCAGAGCTGGTTCCCATACACCCACCACCCTGTCTATGCCTGGGCTAACCCCCAGCCCCACTACACAGCTGGCAAGGCAGCGCCATCCGGCCATGCTACTACAAACACAGCTTCCCCAACCCAGGGAGCTCTCCAAGCCCATTGCAACTGCTTTAAAGACAGCACACGCTCCCTCCCTGCCATGTCCATACAGGCTCCATCCTGCAGACCCACTGCATGCCCTGGGGGGATGGCACTCATGCCAGTCCTGCGCTGCAGATAGAACCCTGGGGAGGGTCCCTCCTTACCTGGGGGGTGTAGAAGAGCAGCAGCTTGCTGCTGAGCTCCAAGAAGTCGCTTTCAGGCTTGAATGGAGATGTGACATTGGGCCCTGTGGGGAGGAGAGCGAGAAGAGGGTCAGTGAGTGATGTGGACAAGATGTGGACAAGGTTGCTGCAGCCTGGCACGTGGGCAGTAAGGGAGCCATGCCACCCCAGCAGTGCTGATGGAGGGACTGAGTGTCCAGAGGTCTTGCCACCATTGGGGTGCTCCCAGCCCCGGGCTGGAAGCACGCAGTCTTCCTCCCAGTTCAACCCTTGCTAGCTCCTAAGACCTTCATTTCTACTTGATTAGACAGGTGGCATTCCTATCCCCCATCCCCAGCCGCAGAGGGGCTGTCCCAGCTGCGTGTGCAGCTGTCTTCCCTGACTCAGCACCGCTCGCCTGCACGCACAGAACAGCATCTCCAGCACAACCACATCCTAGGCACCACTCCCTGCCATTTCCTGCCATGTGAGACCCAGGCAGCAAAAGAGGTGCAGGGAGCAGAATGAGCTGTGTGGTGCAGACTGAGGCTGGGGAGACTTGCTCAGGCCTCATCTCCGCCATGAAAACTCACTGGGAGACAGGACCCCAGCAGTGCCTTAATGGCGTTCCCAAGTCACAGCACGGGCTGGACTCGCTCTCACCTCTGAGGCTGGGAGGAGGCAGCACCCAGCAATGCCAATCTCAAGGCATAGCCACAGCCACGTGCCCATGTGGTACCCAAGAATGACTCCCTTGATCCTATGATCCCTTCCCTGTTATCCACTGGGGCCAGGACCCTGCTAGATGTAGATGACTAACCCAGCTGTAGGCTCCCCAAATTGCTCCTGCACCCAAGCCTCCCCTCTTGCCCAGGGAACACCACACATGAAGCCCCGAATGTACCTGAGGAGAACAGCACTTTGACCTGGGCTGGCTGCAGGGCTTCATAGAATATGGACACCAACCCCAGGTGCCCCTCCAGGGAGGTTGGTGTCCCCCACTCCATGTCTTGGCTCCCTGCTGCTGTCGTGGATACCAGGCCTTCCCGGAGGGGTTGGATAGACCCAGGCGTCCAGGCATGTGTCCCCAGGGAGGCAGGGAAGGACTGGGAGCGGCAGAGTGAGGGGTGGGTGCTGAAGGTGAGGTCTGGTGAGTGGGAAGGCAGGGGATAGAGGGTGGAGGTGGTCGTTGTCCGGTGCCCAGCGGAGCCGATGCAGCAGGAGGTGAATGACTGAAAACAGAGAGAGGGGCCCAGGCTGTGGATGGAGGACAAACAGGGAGCTCTGCAAGTCCTTCTCCTCCTTGAAGCCCGATGCTCTCACACCCCTTGATCCCAGCAGGGACTTCTGTGAGGTCCCAACCCAGGAGAGCACATTCAGCCCTAGTGTTTCTGGACAAGGAGGCTTTCCTGAATCAGGACCCGAGGTGTTTCCCTTGCTGACGATGACCTCTAAGAGCATCGTGTCTCCTCTTTTGGGCATCCACACCCTTTCAGGGGACAAAAAGGACCAGAGAAGTGAAGTACAGACCAAGGGTGAAATCCTGACCCTGCTGAAGTCAGCAAGAGCTTTGCACTGTTGCTTTCAATCTGTCCAGTTTTCCACCCCCATCCTCACCCTCTACATTGCAGCCAGAAGAGAACAAGAGGCTAGATCTGACCCACACACCTGGCAGCACCAAGCTGCTAAGACATTTACCCAGATGCAAATAGGCAAATATCATGAGCTGCTGGCTAAGGTAATCTGAACCAGGAGCTTATCTACAGCACATCAGCCTTCCCCCAATTACAGCCACTTCCTTCTCCTGAGGCTTGACTAAGGTGGCCTCTGGAAAGGCTGGCAATGAGCAAACAGAGCAGGTTCCCAGGGTCTGCCCGGATACTTGCTGGATGTCTCATCATAGTATCCAAATCCCTCTGGATGGAAGAGCTTCCTGCCTGCCAGTTTCCAGCCGTGTGACAGGGGCAGTGAGGGAAGGAGGAGTGAGGATCCAAGAGGAAGCAGGGTTTAGTGAGTACAACACAGGCTGGGCAGCTGGGGGCTCTGCGAGGGTTTTCATGCGTCACCTTCCATTTCACCCCCACCGCTTAACACCCTGGGTCTGGTTTCCCTCCCTCAAGCCCAATGAGGTTCCTGGATGGGTCTTGCTCTTCTGCCTGGGATGAGGCTTGTTACCAAACTGGATCAGAAAGGAATTTTTCCCGAGGTCAGACTGGCACAGACCGGGGATTTTGCTTTTCTCTGTAACCCCAGGCCCGGTCCTTTTCTAGGATTTTCTGGGCATACATTAGCCAGCTACTTCTTGCCGTCACAATGACAGGGCACTGGCAGTGCCCTTGTCTCCCCTGACTTTACCTGTGAGGTGGTCTTGGTGCTCCTGGTAGTATGCAGTGAGGATTAGGGGTAAATAAATGGGGGCCTGTGGATGCAGGACACTGGACTGAATGGCCCAAGAGGCCCCTTCCCATCCTGTGTCCCTAAGAGGGGACGAGAAGTTCTGCCTCACCCACTATGAGGGGTCCCAGCTGAACACACCAACACCCCACAGCCCTCCGAACCTCTCTACTGGTGGTGTGGTGCCCGGGGGTGTCTGGCACTCACTCCAGCTCTCCAGCATTTCTGAGGTCACCCATGGAAAGTGGGTAAGCAGCAGATCAGCAGGGGTCCAGGATCCCATGGGTCACCCCTGAAGAGGAGCAGCGAAGGGAGTGGCAATGCCCAGTTGGCCTGCTCCAGCCGTTACCTCATTGAGGGAGGGGAAGCGGAGCTGCGCCACCTTCCTCAGCTGCCCATCTGCGTAGATGTTCACCAGGTTCTGGCCGAAAGGCCGGCGGCCCATGATGTGGGTGATGTCGATGCAGTGCTGTGTAGAGAGCAGGGGACAGGGAGTGACCACTGGTGGGCAGCCAGAGCCCTACACTGGTTTCCACAGGGCTCTCCTCCTCCTACCTTCCAGGTCCCCGAGGAACCAGCCTTGCAGGCTGGGCAAAACCAGCCCTTCAGCAATGGGCTCAGGGTGACTATTTTGGGCAACAGCAGGTTTCACCCTAAAGGGAGGCTCAGCTCCTTGGGACAGCCTCCTCTGGGCTGCCTAGTCAGCATGTATCAGTACTACCTGGCCCCTTAAGATGGGCAGAGATGTGCCCTCTGCTTAACTGGAGCTGCCAGAGGAATGGAGAAAGGTGGAACTGCTGGCCTGGAAACTGGGTGAGCACCTCTATGCCTGTGAAAGATGCAACGGCACCTCTACAGGGCACCGCTGGCCCAGCAATACCATGCCCCCAGCACCATGCCAAGCTGCTGACCCCTTGAAGAACTGCCAGAGCATCCCTCCAGCCCCTGGGAGCTCTTCAAAAGTCTCCAGGCAGCTACCCCTGGAGCTGCCACTGAACCCCACAGGACAAGTTTATTATTAAGATGGCCCCAAACAGGTCAGGTCACCTCCCCAAACCTTCCTATTCCTTCTTGGGGTGTGGGAGCCAAGCCTCCCCTACTTCCTGGAGGACTGCAATGGACAGACCCTTCTGAACAATACACTGCTGTTGTGCATCTCTTCTGGAGATTCAAACCCAAGGCAGTGCCTGGGTACAACCCTACAGAGGGACTTGAGACACCCTCTGCCCATGAACCACTGAAGGGTCTGGGACAAGTCAATTCTCCAGTCTCTGCCTGCTTCTCCTCCCACCCTTTGCTGATACTCTAAGTTCTCTGGGACAGAGACCCTCTCTTTTGATGTGGACACATGTCATATATCCACACTGGTGTAACCTGGCTTCACACTGGTGTAAATGTGGAGTGCACAGATGATGAACAGCCCCATCCCAGTGTAATTTACTTGAATCCAGCTGGAAATAACTCCTGGAAAAATCAGAGGTGAAAGTCCACTGGGGTAAGTTACACTGGTATACTCATATGTCCATAAGCCATCCTGGGATCCTAGGATCCTAGGAAAGTAGGGCTGGAAGGGACCTTGTGAGGTCACTTCTAGTCCAGCCCCGTGCTCCAAGCAGGATCATCCTGGACTAAACCATCCCAACCAAGTGTCTGGCCAACTGGCTCTTGAAAGTTTCCAAGGATGCAGATCCCATAGCTTCTCTAGGCAGCTTGTTCCAATGCTTGACCACCCTCCAAGCCAGAAAGTTCCTCCCCATCTCCAGCCAAAACTTCCCTTGCTGCAGCTTGAGGCCATTGCTCCTAGTCCTGTCTCCTGCGGCCAGAGAAAAGCCCATCTCCATCCTATCTCTAATCACTCTTCAGGTATTTGAAGACTATATCAAATCCTCCACCCCCAATCTTCTCTTCTCCAAACTAAATCACCCTGGCTCTTTCAGCCTTTTTTCATATATTTTGCCTCTCAGGTCCCTGATCATCTTTGTTGCCCTGTCCTGCACTCTTTCCAAACTGCGCCCAGTTTGGACAGCAGCTTGCTTGTGGCAAGCAGGCCATGACCTACTCCTCTGCCACCAGTAGTTGAGATGCTGTAATGGTAGCCTCTGGCTGGCTACCCTGGGACCAGCTCCTCTGCTCTGGTTCCAGGCAAACACAACCCATATAACTTACACTGGTGTAAGTAAATATGCTGTGTGTCTGCACTCTTGCTACCGTGTCTAGTACTTCACATAATGGAGCTTTCAACTGCCAGGACTGCTCTGACCACCATGGAGAAAAAGGCAGGGACTGGGGAGGGGATTCACGATGAAAAGGTTCAGTGACAAATTGATCACTTACTTATACAGAAAGGAAAGCAAGTGTCACTGCATGACATGAATGGTGGGTAGGTGGGGAAGACAAGTCACATTTTAAGGCATATGGAGGGAATTCTGGGAGATTTCCTTCGATTGGAAGATGAGATACAGACTTCAGTGATCTACTGGGAAGCAGTGGAAGAGTGGGTGAGCTGGTGCAAAAGGGAGCATCTTGCTGAGGGAGGGTGGGGTTTTACTCACCCATGCAGAGTCGTTGAAGGGGAATTCTGGGAGGGTCACTGTCATGTACTCCTTCTTGGTGCAGACTGCCACCACCAGCATACCCTCAGTGGTGAAGAAGGCCTCAAAGCCTGTGCCACTGGCTGTGAAAAAGCTGGGAGGAGGGGGAATCACAAGGTGAAGGCATGAGTGACTGAGCTGCTGGACCCAACCTGAGGCATGGGAGACTGGTGCAGAAGAGGAAGGGATGGGGCATGGGTGAGATGAATGCACACACTGGAGAAGGACCACGTGCAGGAGGATGACACAGCCAGTAGAAAGCACTGAGGTTGGGGCAGGAAGCAAATGAAGCAGCTGACAGGGAGACAGCCTGCAGGGAGATGGAGGAGAAAGATAAACCCTGACACTAAACAAAGAGCGCAAGTGTGAAATGACTAAGATATGGGGCAGGAAGAGAAGACAGAGATGCCTTGGCAGGTCCTACATGAACTTGGAGAGGAGCTGAGCAGTAGCGCTCGGGTGGGATGGGATGTAACGACGGGCTGGATGTTCCTGGGGAAAATCAGGGCTCTCCCAATGCTGGACCCAGCTAAGCCACTGCAAGCACTGGGCTTCAGGGGCCCCTGGAGCTTGTGACACAGAAGGAAGCTGAGCCCTGCCTGTGATAACTGCTCTGCCCTTCCACCCCTCAGCATCCTCCTGATGTCAGGGTGTGATCAGATCCAGTTCCCCCCCTGCTCTAAGGGCTCTGCAGGCTCCTGGCTTCTTATTGGGACCCCCACCACAAACAGAAGCAACCAAAAGGAAGTGAAGGGAGGGGAGGCATCACTGACATTTTGGCAGGGGAGCTGTAGTGAGCTCTTGTCTCAGGAAGCAGCCCCTTGTCTCACATGACATGCCCCAGGTTGCTTATGAATGACAAAAGGAGCCTAAGCCACTAGAACCAGGGCAACAAAGTCATAGGGGTTATGACACCCACGTGTCAAATTGGGCAATGCCAGCAATCGTCCACAGCTCAGTGTCTATGTAGCCCCTACCTGTACAGCTGCTTCCGCTTCAGCCTCGCTCCCTGCTCCATGTTGTCCATGGGCTCCTCATTCAGGCAGACCCAGGCGTGGAAGGCGAAGCCGCTGCCTGGCCACTTCTGGATGGGTGGCACCATGATGCCTGCCATGCTGGGCGTCAGGTCGAAGTATTGCAGGGCCCGCTCTGGCCTGTCCTTGCGGGCCATGCCTGAGAGTGCCCGAATGACCTGTGTGGCATAGGGGTGAGCCCCGCTCCCACTTTCAGTCCACAGCAGCTTGATGAGCTGGCGCAGCTCCCCTGGGCTGATGGAGAGGCTGCCTAGCACCTGGAGGAGGTCTATGAGGTTCTCTGAGCACTTCCTGTCCAGTGCCTGCTCGGCACCCAGGGCATCCAGGATGCAGCTGACCATGCCCGCCTTGACACAGGTCAGGCGGCTTTGTGGGGAGGCGCTGCAGATCCTCTTCAGCCAGTCGGACAGGAACACCTGCAGGTCTCGCGACATCAGGTCTGGCAGCCATGCAATGAGTATCAGCAGTGGCTGCTCATTGCGGATGAGGCGGATGGGGAAGGAGCTGTGGTCGCCTTCCACTGCCTGTTGGGATACAAGGCCACGCAGTCACATCTTTCAGCTCGGACTGCCCTGCTTGGTCCTCCCAGCTCCCCCACAAGATTCCTTAGCTGAGCCCAGGAATGTGCTATCTGCCCCCTTCCTGGCCTGCTTGACTTGGATCCC